TTAACCAATGATTCCTAATTGCATCTACTTCCGGAAGTCCAAATAAAGTGCTTTTGCTTTCGCTTAGAAACACACAGCGTCTCCCTGACATGGCTGCTTCAACACTAACTGCGGTTACTGAAACCACGCCTCCTTTCTTTGCGTGGACATTTGGGCGCATTATGCTAATATTTCCACATAGTGAGGTAGATATGTGGGGGCGTGTTAGAACGAGCCGTTTTAGGGGGGCGTGGCAGAGTCTTAACTTTGATAAAGAATATCTCTGTGGTTTTGAGACTTTAGTCTTTGCAACTTCAGGGATCTTATCTATGCACAATCAGCTTGTAACACTCCAAAGAGAAAGGAAAACTTGAAATCGCATCATATGACACCTTTAACCGGCAAGGCTTTAAAGTGTGCAGTGTCTCATGAGTGTAACTCTACCACTGAGTTATAACATTTGATGTGAATGTATGTGGCATTGTACAATATATTGAGACGGAGGCGCCAGAACTGCTACTGATAGAATGTGCGCTGTAGCAAAATAGTACAATATTTCTACGTTATTAAAGATATTTATGCGACACTTTAATCGTCCACAATCAAAAATCGGGATATCGCACACCCCTATGTGCGGCTGAGATTTTTATCTCACTTGTTCAGTCAGAAGCACAGAAGCGTTGCTGTACTTTCGGTTGGTCTCAGCTCCGAGGGTAGCGAGGCGTAGGAGGAAAACCATTAGAGCAGCACACCAGACCATCAGCTCCCAGTTGGTCTCCGAGTCCAGAAATGTGTGATGACTGTGCAAAAGCTGAAACACAATACCAGTTATCTTTGCTTTATTACAGTCACATTTTCAAACTGTGAATAGATTTATCAGGTGCAGTAATCTGATACTTTACTTAACCTAATATAAACGATTGATATCAATTAATAAATTTTCTCAAAAAGATGACTTTATGGCACATACTACCAGTCAAAACCACATTTATACTTACTACTATTCTTACTAAATCCAAATGGCAAAAAAAAAATCGAAAAAGTTTGAGACAACCTAAGTGACAGTGTTATTCTAGTATTATTTATATATGAATTTTAATCGTTTTAGCAAACAATAACAACACTGCTAAGTTATAATTCAAGTTAAATGTCACATTTATCTTCAAAGGTACTAGGGTGGGATTATAGAAATAGGGTGTGTTTCTATGTTTCAGAACAAATGACATAAAAGGTACAGCATATATGTAAATAGGATTAGATTTTTGGGAAGGCAAACCTTGAAAAGGTCTAAAGGGTATGTCAAAAACATGGTATGATAGAACAACAGCTGACCTGGGCACAGATGATGAAGGAAATAGACAAAGCCAGGAGGAAAATCGATGATACAATGACATCGACGGATCGCTGAGGGCCTCGTCTCTGTTAAACAGAACAGAGAAATTAAATTAAATTGGTATCTTCATGTAATGTCAACTAGGTACATGTATCTTTAAACAGGACTATACAAATGTCACTGCCTGCAGAAACACTCATTCACTGTCATTTGTGCTTACATAAACAGACTGGTTAAGCTAGTTGGATTGAAATTGAAAAGCAACCAAAACAGCTTTGGTAAAATGTCTTAAAGGTGAAATTAAATATTCAAAATATGTTATAGGTAAAATTCTATATTATTTTGTCTAAATACATTTATAATATATATAAACTAAAATTTAACCATTTCAAATGCTACAAGTGAATTTAAGAATCACAACATTGTTATATACAGTATAAAAACTGTACAATTTTGAGATGTACTAAAGCTTACATTCAACAGTGTTATTAAATTATTAGAGTAAATTAAGAGATGAACTTCATGTGAGCATTAGATGACAGCAAAGGTAATCTAAATGTAAAAATAGCAGAAATTAGCATGCAAAATTGTATGTCTATGAAGATCTGTCAATATATAAAAAATAATCATTAATATCAGCCAAAAAAAATTCTATAGTGCATCCCTTATGTAGTGGGAAGATGATACCTTCAGGAATGATCGAAGTGAAAGCCACATCTTGATATTTTGCACTTTCTTCAGCCGAAAGTGAGGAATCTCAGATTTTTTGGCTTTGCGTGCGGACGTGATATGGCTGAAGAGTTTCGCAAATAAAAGGCGCTGTAGATGACATCACATTCGTTGAGAACAAAACATCCTGTTTAGCTGTATAAAGATTTTGTGGCACTGAGATTTCAACAACACTTTACAAAGAAGTTCAATTTGCTAACTTTACTTTTGCATGTTAGTTCACAATAATACAATAGCTGTTAATTTATGCAACTTGAAATGTAAAAATGTATTAGCATACTGAATCGAACAAATGTAAAATGAACATTTTAGCCTAAAGGTGGCAACAAACAAACGTTAGTAACGCATTTATTACAAACACTCCATAACATAAAAAATTAATGCCAAGGCATGTTCATATTCACCTGTTTATACGTCCTCTCAGCCACACACATCATGAAGAAGAAGAGTCCAGAGAGGAAAACTCTTTCCGCTGTGGTGATGATGAAGAACGCATAGGACAAGCCACAAGGCGGCCCGATGACCACTGCGGGCAGTTCCTCAAGGGAAACAGAATTGAGATTGCCAACATCCAGTTTCTGTGCCAGTCTGAAGCAGTAGGGCAGCAGAGCCAGTGAGGCGGTGACCAGACTGCCGAAGAGCAGATAACCCATCCCTTGTTCAACCACCTTCACCTGGAAACAGAAAACCTTCAGCATGATTTTACAGCAACAGCACCGACCTGTTACTTTCCGGTCACTTAGGTATGACTCAAAGAAAAATACCAATGCAAAACTCCAAAACAGTCAGTGTTCAAATGCTTACAGAGGAGTTTACACTGAATTTGAATATAATTTGAGTTTAAAGAGGAAGTCAACAGTTCTCTTCTCTTTTTAAGCAATTTAAACCACTAATGTAGAGATAAACAGGGCAGAGAAAGAAGGACTTTACTCGTGTGAGAATGATACCACTGATCTCCAGCACAGACATGTCAGCTTTCTTACACTCTCCCTGCTCCCAGATAATGGCACTGACACGGTCTTTGGAGGGGTGACAAGCCTGCAGCCATGAAAACTGGTGCTAAAGGGAGAAAGAAATCATGCGTGTCATTCAAAGTGCAGAGATAGAGTATGATGTTTGGGGAGTCTGTTAATCATAGGAAAGAGATTAAGGCCAGTTGCACACTTTAAATGGTTAATCCTGGGTATTCTGTGATGAACATGGTTTTAGTTTTTTTAAATGAAATCGATTTTGAAATTTTTTGGGGACATGAAATTAAAAATGTCAAGGGAGTACAAATGTCATAACATCATAACGAAGGAAAAAAACTTATGAAATTCTTGTGAAAAAGAAAAGTATTGCAACATAACCTTTTTTAACTGTGTACTAATATTCAGAAAATGTCAGCCAACCAGACTAACATGCAGGAAAAAAACATAAAAAGGAAATGTTACCACAGAGAGGAGCCATGCAGACCCTCATAACTGTGTGTCAAGTTCAATGCGTTTCCTAAAATATCAGAGAAATTGCCCACAACTTGTTATAAGTGTTTATCCATCTACGGAAATGACACCATGGAAATTAAATAATGCATTTGCTGTTGCAGTTTGAGAATTTTCTTTTTTAAACACAGACCTTGAAAGTATCTATACAAACTGTGCAAAGCACATTAATATTTAAATGGATAATTATTGCTTAGTTTGTGATTGGATGCCTCCTGTCTATACAACATTGAAATGCTGCTTAAATTAACAATGCAATCTTAATTCGTACTGGAGGGGTAAAAACGGGACTTTACTAAGGGTTAAAAAAAGTTAAAGGAATAGTTCTCACCATTAGGCCATCCAAGGTGTAGATGAGTTTCTTCATCAGAACAGTTTTGGAAAAATTTAGCATTACATAATTTGCTCACAAGTGGATCCTCTGCAGTGAATGGGTGCCGTCAGAATGAGAGTCCAAACAGCTGATAAAAAAACATCACAATAATCCACAAGTAATCCAAAAGCACTCTAGTCCATCATTCTTGTGAAGCGAAAAGCTCTGTTTATACGAAACAAATCCATCATTAAGATGTTTTAATTTTAAACTGTCATTTCCTGCCAATACACCAAATACCAAAACACTAAATTGTGCATATTTCTGTCATTAGTCAGTCGAAACATCTTTTTCACTGGAAAAAGCAATATTATGGAGAGAGAACATATTTTAATTTAATTTATTTTATGGACGGAATAGTTTAAAGATTAGAAAATTATGATCAATTTTTTGTTTTAATTTAAAAACCAGCTTTCTGCTTCACAAGATGTTACATGATGGACTGTGGATTATTGTGATGTTTTTATCAGTTGTTTGAACGCTCATTCTGACGGCACCCATTCACTGCAGAGAATTCACTGGTGAGCAAGTGATGTAATGCTGAATTTCTCCAAATCTGATCTGATGCAGAAACAAACTCATCTACATCTTGGATGGTCTGAGGGTAAAGTACATTTTCAGCAAATTTTCATGTTTGGGTGAACTATTCCTTTAAGCGAGGTGTGAAAATTCACATTAAACTTATTAACGCAACTCACCTGCGGTAAGGCTTCATCCTCATCACTAGTCAGAGTGATGTTAGGCAGAGGGAGGGAGAGGTTAGGACTGTGAGGCTCCTCCTCTCCACTTTCACTGCTTCCTGTGGAGGCGGAGTCAGGATCATGTAGAAGCTCCTCCCATAACATATCATCTGTGTCAGAGGCTAGACGTGAGCCCTCTGAGGGCCGCAGAAGCTTGACTTCACGTGGAAGCACTGGAGCATCTGTTGGCTTGCCGTTATTCTCTCCCTGTATGCATTCACGCAACGGTAATGAATATTCCGAACTATTTTACAGACATTTACCTTGGTTTTACACAGATACTCACATGAGTTTGGGGTGGCAGATTGTTCTTGGGGACGTTGTGAAGTCTATTCCTGAGCGCTCGGGCATATTTGGGAGGTGCTGATGAGAAGAGTCTCTCTCTTTGCAGCTCTGCTTCATCTGCTTCTTCCTCACTGGAGAGATCTTCAGAAGCCCCATATGGAGGCCTCCTCGGGGAGTTCTGCAAAGCCCACAGGATCTCGATCAACACAACCATGAATGTTCATGACACTTCAAAATGTACAGTTCTAAAGAAAGTGTTTTACCAGTCTCTTCTCTGATCTGTAGAGTCGGTGGTTGTCTTCAAGTTTGAGTTCTACTATCCCTCCCCCTCTGCTGCTCTCATCCTCAGACCTCTTTGATTTTCTACTCTTCCTCTGTCTATGAATAAACACCAACATAATTTCAAACATTACACAAATGGAATTACATCAAAAGAATGAAACAAACACTTGGTTGTTTATGGCTCTGAGACAAGTCTGTCTCTCACAAATCTGACACAGCAGTAGCTTAACCTTTTCCTGCGAACAGGGCTGGCCGTCCGACTGGGGACAGGGCTGTTGTCCGGGCTTTTGGAGGATTCTGTGGATACTATTTGGCAGTGTACTGTACCCAACAACAGTATGAGACACAATGGACCCACAACCTCACTGGCACAGGCTGCCGGTACCTCAAAATACAATACAGCTCCTGCCACTGCAATGAACACAAATCCATCAGCTCATGATACCATACTGAGACTTTTCATTCATTTTAATTCATTTCCAAATGACATTGAAGGTTTTCAAAAGTATTATCACTAAACCACGTGTATTATCTCTCAACAAAATCTGAAATATTCAAAGAATGATCAACGAAACTATGCTAAAACACTCAAATGTAGTGCTGGGCGGTATGACCAAAAATTTATAACACGGTATTTTTAAAAATTATACCGGTTTCACGTTACATGATGGTATTTTTTTTTCATGCATGACCGGGTGTTAACCATATTTTCTACTGATTGAATGCATAAAATATGTTCACGTGACTGTGCTTAGCTGAAAAGAAGAAAAACTGCATACCTTGAAGAAAGTACAGAACTAATATGAGGGTGGAAATGCTTTTAGATGTAACTTGGATCCACCACTGAAAGAAGAAAGGAAAGAAGAGGACCCTGACCAAGCCTTTACGAGTCAGAGCGGTCCAAGGGCTCTCTGGTTTGGCCTTGCTAAATGTAGAACCTGCAGTTGTAAAGATACTAATTTAATTATTCAAAAGAGCTGTTAGTTGCCTTAACGTACATTTTTAAATATGTACACTATCATTCAAAAGTCTGGGGTCAGCAAGTTTTTTGAAAAAAAAAAAAAAAAAAAGTCTCTAATGCTCACAAAAATTGCTTTATTCTATCAGTAAAATACAGTAAAAACAGTAATTTTGTGAAATATTACATTTTAAAATAACTGTTCACCTATATTATTTTATAATAACTAAAGGAATAACATAACTGAGGGAATACATTTTGAACTGAGATTCTTTGATGATGATAGAAAGATGAAAAGAACAGCATTTATTTGAAATAGAACTCTTTAGTAACATTATACATATCTTTACTGTCTTTATAAATGTCTTTATGATCAATTTAATGCATCTTTGCTGAATCAATGTATTAATTTCTTTCAAAAAAATTTTAGTGACCCCAGACTTTTGAACCATATTGCAATTTTACTGTAAATTAATTAAAGATATACTTGGCAATACATATACTTAAGAAGTTAACTAATAATTATGTTTCTGTAAGTAATTTACAGCGAAAATAGTAACCCAGAAGCTCCTGTGTGACACATCATACTTTATTATCTTTAGTTTACGTGTATATGTGTCTTCTTATATTTCTTATTCAGATTTAGGTAACATTACATAATTTAATTATATAATATTGTCTGGTTATAAACTGTAAAATATTCATGCACAAAAATACCTTCCTGTAATGCCCAAAACAATGTCACTTTTGCAACGTTTCTTTTGCTGCCTGTTTTACAGCATATTTTTACATTTAAAGTATGAGATCTGATCCGATCTTACACCCTATAACAATTACAGATACACACAATAGATTCAGATGTCAAACATGAATGTTAGCTCACCTCTCACTAGGTCAACATCAATGAGGTCTGGCTTGATATGGCCAGTCTTCTTAGGTTTGCTTCCAAAGCCCTGTTCATACGGAACAGAGTTTCACAAGTCTGGCTGCATACATTTTTGCACAATGTTAAAAACCACATCTATGCTGCAAACACAAACTGCCACTGTGCCACATACCTTGAGCTCAGTCTGTTCCAGTGACTTTTCCCAAATCTGCTGATCATAGGCTCCGGATCCACCACTGAAAGAAGAAAGGAAAGAAGAGGACCCTGACCAAGCCTTTACGAGTCAGAGCGGTCCAAGGGCTCTCTGGTTTGGCCTTGCTAAATGTAGAACCTGCAGTTGTAAAGATACTAATTTAATTATTCAAAAGAGCTGTTAGTTGCCTTAACGTACATTTTAAAATATGTACACTATCATTCAAAAGTCTGGGGTCAGCAAGTTTTTTGAAAAAAAAAAAAAAAAAAAAGTCTCTAATGCTCACAAAAATTGCTTTATTCTATCAGTAAAATACAGTAAAAACAGTAATTTTGTGAAATATTACATTTTAAAATAACTGTTCACCTATATTATTTTATAATAACTAAAGGAATAACATAACTGAGGGAATACATTTTGAACTGAGATTCTTTGATGATGATAGAAAGATGAAAAGAACAGCATTTATTTGAAATAGAACTCTTTAGTAACATTATACATATCTTTACTGTCTTTATAAATGTCTTTATGATCAATTTAATGCATCTTTGCTGAATCAATGTATTAATTTCTTTCAAAAAAATTTTAGTGACCCCAGACTTTTGAACCATATTGCAATTTTACTGTAAATTAATTAAAGATATACTTGGCAATACATATACTTAAGAAGTTAACTAATAATTATGTTTCTGTAAGTAATTTACAGCGAAAATAGTAACCCAGAAGCTCCTGTGTGACACATCATACTTTATTATCTTTAGTTTACGTGTATATGTGTCTTCTTATATTTCTTATTCAGATTTAGGTAACATTACATAATTTAATTATATAATATTGTCTGGTTATAAACTGTAAAATATTCATGCACAAAAATACCTTCCTGTAATGCCCAAAACAATGTCACTTTTGCAACGTTTCTTTTGCTGCCTGTTTTACAGCATATTTTTACATTTAAAGTATGAGATCTGATCCGATCTTACACCCTATAACAATTACAGATACACACAATAGATTCAGATGTCAAACATGAATGTTAGCTCACCTCTCACTAGGTCAACATCAATGAGGTCTGGCTTGATATGGCCAGTCTTCTTAGGTTTGCTTCCAAAGCCCTGTTCATACGGAACAGAGTTTCACAAGTCTGGCTGCATACATTTTTGCACAATGTTAAAAACCACATCTATGCTGCAAACACAAACTGCCACTGTGCCACATACCTTGAGCTCAGTCTGTTCCAGTGACTTTTCCCAAATCTGCTGATCATAGGCTCCAATCTTTGACACAAGATCATTAGAGAACTGTCAATCCCTTTCTAATCACAATATGCATTTACTGTAAAACAGATCTAGTAAGGCTCACCTTTTTCTGATACCATGCTATTCCTGCCATTTTTTTTTTGAACATTAGGTCAGGTCATCTCAGACGATAGGTAGTGCCAATCACAGAATATTTCATTCCTCGAAAGAGTCAGACATACAGGTTATGTCATCGCTTACAGTAAAAAGGAGACGCCTATTCTCAAATGAAGGTATGTTACAGACATAGGAAGCGACTTATCAAGTACAAATAAAGAGAGCGGCTGTGTTTCAAAACCTAGTGAGCTGCCTACCTAGACTGCATTTGATAAAGACCGCTAACGTTACAGGTAAAGTTGCATGCTTTTAGTTCTCGGAAAATATAACGATATTAAACATACCTGGAGCCCAATAAACAATATCTGGCTGTGATTCCTCAGCAGTTCGTGTTGAGTCTTGTCAACATTTTCAGATGTTTATGTTGGAGCTGAAACAAACCTCGCCCCCCTACAACAACAAAACTATCTGACGCCACATCAAAAACATCTCATTAAGAAGTTAAAACAGCCGTCTAAAGTTGTGCGCTAACTATATTTACTGTCAAACCACCCTGGCATTAATTCGGTTAAATCTCATCGACGATAAAATGATCTTCTTGCAAAAGAGAAGTGATTGTTAAAGTTCCCACTCTCATCAGCGCCTGGCAGAAACGACAAGTGTGTGAAGCAAGCGACGACAACGACTCATCCAATGTGAATGGCGGAACTACATGTTGTACAAAATAAACTTCAGTAACTAGTGTAAAACTACAAAATAAACTAAAGTAACATAAAATAAAATACAAAAATAAAATACAACTAAATAATTATAATAAAAATAGCCCTTTTTAAATTTTGAAGTCGAATGTTCATTGAAACATGTAACATGTAACATATTTGGTTGGAGTATAATGTGTAAATGCTGATTCTTAAACGAATCGTTCCTTTGAGTCGGACTTTTACGATGAATCAGTTGAACCGATTCACAAAACCTGTCTGAACTAAAGTGGTCCTCGAATCAACAATACGAAAAGCTATTTTCAGCTCATGCGAGTATTATTTTAAACATATTTTCAAAAGTGTTATTAATTTATTTTTGTTTAGTACTTTTTTATATTACTGCACCTTTAATCATTTCAGTTATAAGAAAGTTAACAGATGGTTGCATGGCCTTTTCTAGTGTTCAACAAATACATGGTTAATGTTTTTTACGTTCCGTGTTAAAGTGTTTTTAACTGGTATAAAGTTATTTAAACCTATGTTTAGTGACGTTTTATATGAATTGTATTATTGTAAACGTTTATTTTATATTTATTGTAATATTCGCGTGAGATGACTCTGTAAATTACTAAATAACATGCCTTTACTCACCAGTACTCACAACTGTGATTGGTCCATCCTGATCAGTGCTGAGAAAAATAACAGAACTAATGCCACGAAAATGTAGTGCCACAAGAATGTACTGCCAGATTTTAACCACTAGATGTCAGCATTTTAATTTTATTACATTACCTTACAACACATTACGCTTATACATTTGGCTTTGTCTCTTTACGTCTGAGATTAAGCAGATCTTTTACAGAGCTGTTGAACTTCTGAAACTGTAATTTTCTTCTGAAAACATTTCATTCCATTTTTAAAATGATATTTGTTTTCACTATTCAAACAGAAAATAAACCCCTCATTTATATAACTGAATTCATATGCTTACTCCTCTACAAGAAAATTAAATAATTGCAGTAATCAAATGCAATATTTATTAACACTATAAATCGTTAGATGGGTGTAGACTTTCATGACTCTTATTTGTTTACTGCATAAAATGTGAGCCATGTGACTGTGATCAACACAAACAGGCTTTACCACTCTTATCTGGTACTTTTTGGATAAAAATGTTTGCAGCTATCAATAATTTTATGATAATATTTGCTACTCACTGCTTCCAGCAAGTTTTGTGCTACTGTGATGACTAAATACAGAGCTTTTGATATAAATAATATACATCCAGTAACACACCTACACTCTTTTCGATGGGTTAAGTCACTTTCTTTGAACAATGCTTTGAATAGATTCGCAGCCACATATAATGAAGAACATGCAGAATAATCACAGTAATCAGCACAAGTACTAGTCTGACATCATAATATCACCATATGAACAAAAAGAAATTACATGAAGCAATTATGATTGAGACAAATAACTGACAGTGGTTATTATCTGGACCATACTGCAAGTCGACAGTGGCAATGTTTAAGGATTACCCAAATGGACAAAATACTGTAAATGAACAGAAATGGCTTTTACTTACCAAATCATATATGTGTTGGTTACTGCATCGAGGCAATATATGGAGTCATAATAATTATTATAAACTACTCTACATAATCATTATCATAATCATTATTTTATTTATTAAGAATTATTTTATTATGCATTTTATATATTATTATTGTATTTTTTAAAATATATTTAATGTTATTATTTGTATTGTTATTTTTATTTATTAGCAGTATTAATACTTTTAGTAGTAGTGTATTTATACCATTCATTGGTAATATGTGTGAGTGTGTCTGTGTGAATTGTTAAAAATATTAGTCTACCTCTGTCTGTTACTTGATGACATGCCGTTCTTTTTTCTGTGTAATTTGAATCGAGCGATAGAAATTTTAACATGAATTTACAGTGGAAGTTCCAAGTGGGAAAACTCAGACTGTTTACATGCATGCGCTTTCTCATTTGAATGCACTAATGGTTTCTTGCTTTCAATATACCCATAGATCACCTTTGTTCAGGAGTAATTACCCAGTAATCCGTGGGTGCATTCGTGAGCACTGTGTATACTGCTTATAGATTTCATTTTGTGAGGTTTCCCTCTCATTTCCCTTGCCTCAGTAGGAGATTATTATTGACTGGCATTTTATGAAAAGTCTCAATCGATTTTTCAATCCACTAATATGTGGACCTGGGGAACTTCATCTGTCCTGCGAGACCTCTCTTAATGAGACTCATAGGCAAGCCAGATCTCACCTCCAGCGGTTTTAAAAGATAGATGATTTCACTGTATGTCCTAGTTGTCATGTATATCTGCCCAGTGCTTTTAGACCTCACCATCAAAAGCGGTTTTTATTATTCATGGCATGGTGAAGTAAGAGGTGGGAATAGTGATTTTAAAACTCTGTGTGCTTTTCTTACATTAATTAATAAACATGGCTGTCAGCTGTGGGTCAACCACAGGTCTGGTCATCTCATCAGTATGTTACATACACACCTAAACTGTCTTTCATCCCAGTCCAAGACAAAGAAACGGTGTCGCCAAAGATATTGAGGCTGGAGACTGGAGTTATTCACACAGAAATAATAATATGATATGTTTACTTGCTTTAACAAATTTGACAAGCTGGCTATAAGTATTTATTTAGTGTACTGCATTTCACCTCCCTAATCTCAGTATTTTCTACATCTGCTTCTCAGGCACAGCTGACGTGACATGCCCCGGGGACATACATAGATATAGTCAAAGATGATACATGGGATGAGATGACAGGAAAAACAGAATATTCTGCCACCCTTTGTTCTCTTTCTTTCTCACATGATCCAGCTCAGAAGAAGCAGAGTGTTTTGTGCTGACAACACCCTGGCGCACAATGCACACGCTTTACTAGCTGCTCACTGACATGGATCATTTTGTTCCAGAGTTCTATAAATGCTAGGAATGTGTGCACATGTGTGTATGCATAATATGAATTTAAATGCTTGATAAAATACTCAACCGGGCTGAATGGAATGAAAAGATACACTATTACATGCTTATGAGATTAAGGGTGAAGTGTGTGATTTCTGTGCCACTAGTGGCGCTAAACGTAACTGCAGTTGTTCAAAAAATGTTTTTAAATAAAAATGTTAAAGTTTAAAATGTTTAGATAATTCAATCGAAAAAAAAAATGTAATCATTTGGACCATTGATTGCACCAATAAATTGTTAAACACTAGAGAGTGTAAAAAAGAAAAGTAAATATGGTTTATTTTGCTTTCAAGTGAATAGTTGCTGAAAATGTACTCAAGCTTAGGCCATTCAAGATGTAGATGAGTTTGTTTTTTCATCTGAACAGATTTGGAGAAATTTTGCATTTACATCACTTGCTAAATGGATGCTCTGCAGTGAATGGGTGCCGTCAGAATGAGAGTTCAAACAGCTGATAAAAACATCACAATAATCCACAAGTAACCCACAAAACTCCAGTCCATCAAATAATGTCTTTTGAAGCGAAAAGCTGTGTGTTAGTAAGAAACAAATACATAAGGCATTTTAACTTTAAACTGTCGTTTCTGGCCAAAATATCCATAATTTATAATAACACTTCCTCTAGTGAAAAAGCCCCCTGTTGTCCTCTCACATCAAAATCCACCAACATATTTGTTTAGAACTGTTTTGGATGGTTTTTCATTTGATTTTCAGTGCTTGATCTGTGCATATTTCTCTCCTGATTCAGACGAGAAGACTTTTTCATTGGAAAAAGCTATTTGACTCGTAATTAAGCCAGAAGCAATGGTTTAGAAAATAAAAATGTCTTAATGATGTATTGGTTTTTTACAAACGCTGCTTTTGACTTTATAAGACATTAATTGATGGGCTGGAGTCGTGCGGATTACTTGTGGATTGTAGTGATTTTCAGATGTATCAGTTGTTTAAACTCTCATTCTGACGGCACCCATTCGCTGCAGAGCAGGATGGCCTGAGGCTGAGGGTGATTCAATTTTTCAGCCAATTTTCATTTTTGGGTGAACTATTCCTTTAACTGTCCCTGTTCCTGGGTTTTCTTCAGGAAGTAAAATAACATCTATTCAAGTCCATATGGCATTTTCCATAATTAGTTTGAAGATGAATGGCGTGTCTGTATCTATGCATATTTACAGCCTATATTTTACTCTGTACTCCCCAAATCACATCACAGTATGAGCAGAATGATGTGTAGACTGAGAGATGTAATTGAATGTGCCATGTCAAGCCTGAGGTAGAGAGCAAATGTTATGTAGCATAGCAGAGCGAGAGAAAGAGAGAAAGAGTGAGAGCAAGGCTCTAAAGGGACTTCAGCAATATTTTCCTTGCGTGTATATAGCCAAATTCCGGTAACACATGCATCTTCTTAAAGTTAGTTTGGAAAGGCACTGTATTGAATTATTCTGGACTTGCTCTGCCTGAAACTTTATACATTTTGAATTGACCTATATGCGCCACTGTAACGATTAGCTATACGGCCCCTTTATTCTGGCATATACATGTGATACATGCTCACTTTCCTTATTTCCATCTGGATTTCAGCCAAGACTGCATTGAGCGCAGCACATGCAAAAGAAACGCAAAGACTTTCTGCCACACAGAGCCTCAAAGTGCACTTTAACACATGCAAGAGACATTAGCATAAATTAGAGTGCTAGCATTAGCTGGCTAATCCTTTATCCTGAATTAGCACTTAGAATGGCTCTGTCTCTGTTGTACAGGAAGACCTAATAAATGTGGGCCAGCAATTAGAGGTTATCTTCAAAAGTTACGTAAAAAGTTTAAAGCTTATTCTCTTGAGGCAATCCGGACCTTTATTGGATTATGAACAGAGCACTTAACACTTTTTATCTCAGTTTTTCTTAGTAGGTATATGGAGGTATGTATATTATTATATTATATTATATTATATTATATTA